AAAAAAAAAAAAAAAAAAAGGCTTCAGTGATTTCCTGGACTCTGGAAAGTTCAGGGGATAGGTTCAGTAAGCCTTAGCAATAACTTATTGTTATCTTACAACAGCTAGGGTGTAATGTGTGTTTTAATTCAGGGAGGCTTTGTGAGTCTGAACCCCTGCTTAACATTAAGGAGATGTGAAGACACATTAACTCTTACCGTAGGTAGCCTATTTCCCTCATTTTAAGATAATTTAATCATGCCGAATGCTGCTAATAGTCGACAAACAGCAGTAACCACATTAAGCTTTTTTAGCAATTACATTTTGTGAAAGGTTTGAACCCAGGAGTCATTTCAAAAGTAGGTTGAGTTTGATCGTCCGGGTGAACGTAGTCCTGAATAGGACTGTTGTTGTTGACAGTGACTGACGTTTCGACAACCTGTGCGGTAGTCATCTTCGGAGTCAAAGTGAGTTGTATCAGGTCAGTTGATGGTATTATACTCTGGTTATTGATGTGATTGGTCAATTACGTCGCGATGTTATTCGTCGTCTGTCAGTAAAGCCGTGATGTTATTGGCTATGAAGACTCGTTGTCAGTAATTGGTGCGTTTCGATCCGTCTATTGTCACAGTTTAACAGTCGTCTATTGTCAAATTGTCAATTCTTCAGTCGTTCTCTCGTAGTTAGTTTTGCTTGATCTCGTCAATAAGTCGTTTGTACGGCACTGGTAACTGTTGGCTACGGTTCAGTGGCGTTTGTTCTAAGTTAGTAAGCTAGCTTTCTAAAGTAAGACGTTGATAGTAGACTGTAGAATACGTTATACATGTCGCAGAGTCCAAGTCAATTTGATGTTTAGTCTTTAAATGGTGCTCAGCAATGTGATTGTTGACGTCACCATTCCTCGTCGCTCGTTTGTGTTCGGTCAGTAGCGTGCTAAGGTTTCTACCGGTTTCACCAATGTAAGAAGCCTAGCAGTCGCAGCATTTGATCTTGTATACTGCAACTTGTCTGTGCTCCGGTTTGTCTTTGTCCTTGACATTAGCAAGCAGTCGCCGTAAAGTGGTTATCGGTTTGTGCGCAACACGTATATTGTAAGGTTGTAATATACGTGCAATAGTTTCAGAGGTGCCTCTGATGTACGATATAGTCGCTGTCGTAACAGGGCCAGAGTTGGTCTGAGTGTTGGAATCAGTGTTACTGTGAGTGGTCCGTCTAACAAAGTCCGTGTTGTAATTGGTCTTACTAAAAACGTTGTTAAGATAATCATTCTCGTCTTGTAGGCTGGCAGGTGAGTCGCAAACTAGTTGCGCTCGTCTCGTCAGAGTCCGGATAGTAGTAGCCTTGTGAGAGGTCGGGTTGTACGAAGACTGGTCTAGTAATCGGTCTTAAGGTGTTCATGAAAATCATCGATTCCGTCTTTGTGTACGACGGTGAATGTGTCGTCAACGTAACGTAACCAACGAGGTACAGTTCGCGTGTAGGCAACTAGGGCTTGTTCCTCGATGTTTTGCATGACAATTTCTGCTACAACAACAGAAACTGCAGAGCCCATAGCTGTACCGTGTAACTGTTTGTAGTGTTTGCCGTTGTACTGAAAGTACGTCGAACTCAAACAGAGGTTGAGTAGGTCCATAATGTCCTCTGTAGGTAGTGGTAGTTCAACAGTAGAGTTCTTAATAGCGTTCTCAGTACAGTCTAGAGCCAGTTGAAGTGGAATACTGGTGAACAGGGATTTCACGTCAAAGGACACTAGTTTGTGGTCGTCCGGTATCTGTATTGTCCTAATGGCGTCAATAAAGTTCTCAGTAGACTGTAGTTTGCGTCTAGATTCACCAGTCAGCACTTTCAGTACGTTAGTTAAGTGTTTGGACAGTTGGTAGGTTGGGCACCCACAGAAAGAAACTATGGGCCGCATAGGTATGTTGGGTTTGTGTAGTTTTGGTAGTCCATACAGCTTGGGTGGCTGCGGAACACTACACCTCAGTCTGCTGTAGCGTCGAAAGTCGATATTGTCGGTTTTCTTCAGTGTAAGCAGTTTGTTCTTAAGTTTGCGTTGCAGTGCGGGTGTCGGGTCTCGTTTAAGTACTTCGTAGGTCTGTTTGTCTTTAACAAGGGAGTCCATTTTGTCGTTGTAGTCTGTCTTGTCCATAACAACAGTCACCCGTCCCTTGTCTGCGGGCAGTATGACTACGTTCTCGTCTGTTTTCAGTCGTTTAAGTGCTTTCTGTTTGTTAGGAGTCAAGTTACTGTTCGGTAATGAGGCTGATTGTAAAGTAGAGGTCATTCTACTTCTGTTGTTATCCTTGGTCGATTCTGATAGCCCGTGTTGGCGAGACAGAACGGCCTCAACGCTAGATACAATAGCCTCAGTAGGTATTTGTTTAGGTGTCATTGAGTGTTTAAGTCTGTAAGAAAGTACTTGTGTTTCAGTCTCGTCTAAGGGACGGGAAGAAATATTCCTGACCCAGTTTAAGTCGGGTTTACGTCGTTTAGCGTTTTTTGTGTCTTGCAGTCGTGTCAGTTTTTGTTCCGCTTTCGTGCGGTGCTGTTCAGCTGTCTTTACAGCGCGTTTGTCCTCAATAATCTGTATAGTACTAAGTAAGGTAGTCGGTAAAAGTTGTTTAAGTTTGTCAAGTCGTTGTTGTATTTTGTCGATGTAGTAGTTGAGTCTTCTGTGACAGTCGTTTATCCGCGCTCGGATCAATCGTCTACAGACGACCAATAACATCGCGACGTAATTGACCAATCACATCAATAACCAGAGTATAATACCATCAACTGACGTGATACAACTCACTTTGACTCTGAAGATGACTACCGCACAGGTTGTCTAAACGTCAGTCACTGTCAACAACAACGGACGATCAAACTCAACCTACTTTTAATTAAATTTTACTAGTACGTATACTTTGAATAAATTATGAGAAGTTTTGAATAGTACAAGTGTATCTTCACTCATCCAGTTTCAGTGACCCTTTCTATGCATTAAGAGGGTTAATGAAAACACAGCTTGGGTAAATAAAGTCATTCAATTCTCCACATGAATAGAAAATTTATAAAAAAAATCTAAAGCATTTTTTTTAATGCCAGTTGCTTGAAATCCTACAGAAGATGTATTGTATCAAGTGGAGTGGAGTTTACATTGATTGCTTTTGATGATTTGTGTGATTTTTCATTGTGAATAAAAATGTCATGCCCACAGTGGTACTACTAATAATATAATAATAATAATATTTTAAAATTTATAATGCGCCTTTTCCATGTAAATATGATCAGAAGCGCGTAACAATTGATGCTTTAAATGTTAAAAGAAAATAAAAGCTAAAATGAACAAAGTAATTAAAGCTAAAAAGTAAACAACGCTAAAGATTTGAATAAAACACTAAATATATTAAATAGTAGGTTAAAAACATTACATATCGAAAGCTAGTCTAAAAAGATGCATTTTAAGTAAAGAATTTAAAACGTTCAAAATTGTCCCCAAAACGGATGTGAAGGCGCACATTGAGTTAGGGCTAGCAATGAAAAAGCACGATCCACTAAAGTCTTTTTCAGTTTTTAACTAGGTTGTTCAAGTTAAGATAAGACCGCTAGCTGAACTGAGATTAGAGCGCGACTGTTCTTTAATAACAATCATGTCAATCAAGTAAACAGGCGCATGACGGAAGATAGCTTTAAAAGTAAGAGAAAGTATATTAAAATCAATACGAAATTTGACAGGAAGCCAATGTAACGAACATAGAACTGGTGTTATGTGACTGTACAAGGAACATTAGAAATAAGCCGAGCAGCTGCATTCTGCAAGCGTTGCAGTTTAAGTAGATGAACAGAGGGTAAACCAAATAGTAGGCTATAACAGTAATCTATACGACTTATGATAAAAGCATGGACCAAAGTGCGTGCAGATTCCAGAGACAGAGGGCGCGATCCATTCAACCAAAATTCCAACCCGTTCGACCGTGAAAAGTGGTCCACCTCAAAAGGTGACCAATTGCATGGCGAAAACAGACTCAGCCATATAATAATAATATATTATTATATGGGTGAGTCTGTTTTCGCCAAGCGATTGGTCAACTTGTGGTCCGTAACTTGCTATACGGACCAAAATTTTTAAAGAAAATGCTCATTTCGGAGGTCTAAATCTCTTTACCTCGGAAAAAATGTTTAAATAAAGTTATAAGACGCCTGTCAACCTTGAGGACTTGGATGTTGACTTCGGCCTTCAACATTTTAAACTGTGTTTATTTGTGAACGAAGGCGATGAAGAAACTAAATAGTAATCTTATCGAAGAGGATTCTAGTCAGTGTTTGAAAATTTTATCGTACTACACAGTTAACAAGACGAAATCGACTGGCAGAGATTCGAGATGTTTTGCCTAAGAGAAAATGAGTAATTCTTCAACAAATATAATAACAAACATATCTGCACCCGATCATCTTGACAAGCTTCTTTGCCATTTGCAGAGTTTTTTCAAAGACCAACGAAAGAAAGATAAAAGCGAGTTCGAGCCAGATACAATAATGTCCAGTTTTCAAAAGACTCCAGCGTCAGATTAACGAGTGAATACTTACAGTGCTCTTAGTTTCCACCGAATAAACTTTGAAATATGTATGTAAACCCTGAGGACTGGGATGTTGACTTTGCCTTTACAAATTTTAACCTAGCTTTGTTTTAATGAGAACGAAGCTTTTGTAGAAACTGAATCGTAACCTTACCGACGAAGAGAATTTGTTTGTTTGAAAATTCTAACGCAGATCACAATTGAAGACGAGAATGAACTGGCAGAAAGAGAGGGAATCGCGCCTCACCTTAGTTTTGGACCTTTAAGAAGAACCTGTCTGGGGGAGAACTACAGTTAATAACACTGATGATTATCCAAGATGACGGACAATCGCTCCAAAAACGCGAATCGTAAAAAATCCGCAAAGCAGAATCGAACAAAATTCATCAGATTGCGTATACTACCCTTTTACACTATCATCTTCACAACAGCCTTCAAATCGCCCAAATAATCGCCTTGTTTTAGCCAAAACCACAGAACCGCAAATGCTGCCAGAGAACCGCCCGCTATATGGCAGAGGCCTCGCTTCCTTTCTTTCCCCTTCTCATCGTCCCTCGCGCGCTTTCTTTCTTTTTACCCTCTCCCAGCCTCACTACGACACAAAGAGGCTTCTGCGGAGGAGAGAGGGGAGTAGGGTTATTGACAGGCTGTCCAAGCTCAGTATGAGAGTTTAATCATTAATGCATGTGGTTTCATATTGCGTAATCCTTAAAATGGCCGTGAACATAGAGGATTTGTATGGAAATTCAGGTATAAGATTCAAGAAGATAGATACTCAGTAGAATTTTCAATAAAGTACATCTTACCTTATTTACTTTACTTGTTTTTGCTTGCTCATGAGAGGTTATTTTCCCAATCCATTGCGATTTAAGCCATTTGCTTTAACCCTGAGTTTCCACTCTAAGAGAAAGGACAAGGCTATACATTCCAGTTCGGGATGCCCGATGGAAGAGGCGAAAAATACTTAGCTTAAAATGTTCAAGCAGCCACAAATCCAACGCCGAATCCAAACCAATATGTCCTTGTTTCATTTCACTTCATGAGCCAAGAAATCCGGCCACTGCAACAGACGCCAAGCCGCAGTTTGTTTTCAAAAATCCAAGCATTAGATGCCGAAGAGCCTTGTACGCTCCCACCACGACACACGACCGTTGAAAACCCGATTGCGTAACCCTGCCTCGTCTACAAAGTAAGCCTCACGAGGTTACCACACCGTCACTTGTCATCGATTGAGACAATGATCTCTTGTCGAATCGATCCGAGGGGAGCCGGGATTCAAAACAAAATTTGTCGGTTGCAGTGGCCGGATTGCCTGGCTGATGAAGTGAAATGAAACAAGGACATAATGATTTGAATACGGCGTAGGATTTGTGGCTGCTTGGATATTTTAAGCTAAGCATCTCCTCTCGCATCGGGCATCCCGAACTGGAATGTATAGCCTTTTCCTTTCTCTTAAAGTGGAAACTCGGGGTTAAAGGAAATCGCTTAAATCGCAAAGGATCGGGAAAATAACAACACAAGGTGTATTAATTTTATTGAAAGTTCTAGTGAGTACTTATCTTCTTGAATCTTTTACCTGAATTATCATACGAACCCTTTATGTTCATGGCCATTTTAAGGATTAAGCAATACAGTGAAACCTGTATTAAGCGGACACCCTCGGGGAATGCTGTAGTGTCCGCTAAATAGAGGGTGTCCGCCTAATACAGGTTTCGATAGATAACGTCATATGAGGTGTCAAATGCCATTTAAATGAACAGTGGAAAGGTTAAGAATACTCCCAAAGATTTTGACGATATACGTTTGCATTAATTTCATTATCAAAGTAGACCAGTTGATCATAATACCATAAACATAGATTGCAACTCAAATTTGAAGAAATCAGATGAGTGAAACAAGCTCTATACAAACAAAATGAAATAAAATAATACTGTACCGTGAAACTAATCAAGTATCTTTGTCAAGTCACATTTTTTAATGTAAAATTTGTGGGTGGTAGGTCGAGGCAATCTTCGCATTTCCGGTGACTGGTATGTTGGGTGGTGGCATTTGATTACAAGTGTCCGTTTAATACAGGTTGGCAACAATAGAAATGACCATTTCAGGTACTTTGTACGCGTCTGCGTCCGCTTAATAGAGGTGTCCGCTTAATAAAGGTTTCATTTAAAGCAGATAAGGGAAATAAATTTTGGGACTTCGGCTACTGTCCGCTTAATAGAGGGTGTCCGCTTAATGCAGGTTTCACTGTATGAAAACACATGTATTAATGATTAAACTCTCATACTGAGCTTGGGCAGCCTGTGGGTTATTATGTCACGCTTCAGCTTAGACATGAGTACTCACAGTTCTAACAGGTGGTATGACCGTATCTATGAGCACTAGGTAGACCGCCAACTTCTGTCGTTTTAAAAATAGTCCTAATTATACTACATTTGCCCTCGAACCTTTCTTCTCGGCCAAATGCAGGCATTATCCTCCGATGTACCAACATGTGTCACGATGTCGATATTATATAAGTGAAGGACTGGTGCGAAAATTGCTGGCGCTATTCTGAACACAGATTTATATATAAGAGCGCACTTTAACATTCTCAATGTGCTCTAAGTTTGGCCGTCCGAACACGGCATCACGTTTATGAAAACCAACAGAACTGTTCTCAATCCGACCTTTGCGAATCCGGTCGCAACGATCCGAGCTAAAATGTTGTTTCCTTAGTGTAATATGTACGATTAAAAAACGGTTGCTGACCTCTTTTCTAGCAACTCTAGTAATGGTGATTGAATACCATGATACCTTTGCTTTCAAATTCAGGTTTTTTCCAGGATTGGGTGTAGTACGAGTGATCCAGTAACATTATCTTACACTTTTCCAGGTAAATTGTTAGAGATTTTAGAGATCAGGCATTTTGGTGGTGACTATTTACATGGAGTAATGTAACCATTAATTTCAGCTAGAAACCAGAATGGGTTTTCTAGTGTTCTCGTGGCGAGAACACTGGAATCTCACCCATGTGTCCAGGGTTCGATTCTTGGTTTCGACGGTTAATGTTGGTTGATTTTATTGCTGCTTCTCCTTTCAGAGCTCCGAGGGGTTTTTCTCCATAGGGTACGGTGCTAAGGATTTTCCTTTTTCTCCAAGTTCCAATTCGATCTAGATAGAGGGCCTC